TTAGTCAATTAATAAAGATCTTTGACACTAAAAGGACTATAAACAAACTGCTAAGTTCACGCATCGCATACATATCGGAACTAAAACAAAGGCAACTTCCTTTTACTCGTTAACAATGTCAAGTAGTGCGTATATCTAATTATTTTCCTGTCCACATGTCCTAGCACGAATATTTGTTTACGTCAATAATTTCAAAATTAATTTGACATTTTTAGTTTTTTCTTCTTCTATTGGCAACTACCACGAAGGATTCTGCCAAAGAGTTTTTAGTGTACTTTACGTCCGATACTCCTTGCACTAATTTTAATAAAAAGTCGATAACATTACTTTTAGACATTAATTAGGATCCTTTGGCGCGAATGACTTGCTTTCATTACAAAGTCAAGTGTCAGAATGAATAGTGAGGGGACATAGACGTCGACATTTTAGTAAGGGTCAATACAATGGCACATTTTCGGATTTTATTCGTAACATTACAAAGGCGTCAGCGCGGTAGACCGCCAAAATCTGCCCCACGAATGGGGCTCGCCCGGTGCAATCAATTGCGGATATCTATGGCATCAGTCACTTCGCTATTTTGGCGAAGTTTTGTGACCGTACCCTCGTTTGCTTAATATAAAAAAGGTTAATTAAGTGCATTCTATTGATATCGTTGTTATGCAAACATAGTATTTTTAATAATAAAATATTATTTATCTGTGCAAACATGAGGTTATCTGATATATCAATGTTATTCAAGATCACCTGCTCTCGGGTGTTATGATTTTAATATTAAAAAATAGTTTTTAATATAATTGCGGTTAAGCGCGGTTATTTCTCCATCATCAATTTCACGTCCTTATACATACTTAAACTTATATAAAAAAGGCTAAACACTCACGTATATTCGTCCAGTGGCGGCACCGACTAGTTTCGAGCCCATCGGGGGTCCTTCATCAGGGTGAGTGGGACTGGTATTATTTCGCGGACGCGGCCCGTCTGGAACATAGTCTGGAATAACACATAGGCTACAAATTAAATTCCTTGCAGATAAAGTCGAGGGCGACAACTAGTTTATCGATAGATTATATATTAACAAGGAAAACAATACCTATAATACTGTTTATAAATGTGTAAGCAGTTAGGATGCAGTATATAGTTTGACCTAGTAGAACAGGGAAAAGAATACTTCCGTATAACCTAAGGAAAGTGAGCAAATGCGGAACAACAAATAATACGAGTCGTATATTAATCAAATTAACAATTAAATACAAATAAAACATGTTATGACATGTTTTTAAACGTTTAAACTAGAATTTGGATCGTTATTTTCAACGTATAAATGGGTAAAAAAATAAATTTAAATCTCCTGAAATAATATGGTTATTTATATGTATTTCTGTAATAAAATCAAAGATGATTAATATAGTAATATATAATAGTAACCTATTACTTTTTTTTAATAAAATAGTTTTTTGCCCGCCAGAATAAAAGAAATTTTTTTCCAGACTATGTTCTACATCTATGTCAAATTTTAGCCGTTTAACCGTTCCGGAGATACATTCTAACAAACATCCATCTAAACATTCGCATTTATAATATTAGTAAGTGCTTAATAAGATTATAAAATTAATCTTTATATATATTTTATGAAGGTCACATTTTAATAGGTTATACGATAAAATTAGTGATAGTAACCTCATATCAATGTCATTTGAGAAAAATAACAAAAAATTATCTCTATATATCGCAAATATACTAAGATACATATAGATAGGTAATAATGATAACATTATAATTAAATTAAATAGTTAAAATTACAATAACAAACTTCTTAAAATCTCAATTCTTTTTTTTTTTTGTTTTTTTATATCATAAGGTGGCAAACGAGCAAGCGGCCACCCGAAATCGCTGAAATAGCGAAGTGACCGTTGCCCATAGACATACGCAATTGCATATGCGTTGCCTACCTTTAATCGACGGAGGAGAGGATGCACAGAAAGAAAATATTTTCCCTACCCATGCATCTTCTCATCCGGAAAGTCCACTTCCACTTCCCATCCTTTCCTTATAAGAAAAGGGTGGGAAGGGAAAGAGGATTAAATTAGGCCACCGGGACGCACACTCATCAGACTGTAGTTGGAACTACTTCCACTTGACGCGTGTCTTCTGTGTGGTCGTGGTATTTCACCGGACGAACCTGGCCAATTCGTGCGAAGATGTTAAAGCGGGTTCTACCACTCTCAAAAGCCAATCACAATTGAAACGACATAGTTTGGTACAAAAACCATACTAATCCTTACTTTACTAATATTATAAATGCAAAAGTAACTGTCTGTCTGTCTGTCTGTCTGTCTGTCTTTCACTTATAAACTACTGAACCGATTTAAATTAAATTTGATACACAGATATTCTAGAGCCTGAGAAAGGATACTGGTTAATTTTTAAAGGGTTTTTTTTTTTATATTAGCAGATTTTTTTGTAAATTTACTAATATTTCTTTAACCATTCCAACTAAGCTCTAGGCTTGTGCTTGGATATGGTTTACGACAATAGTCAAATGGCGGGATTCGAACCCCCGACCTCGTCGGAAATCCGTACCCTTAACCGTTAGGCTATTGACGCTTCAAGTTGAAAGTGGGGATGGAAATTTGTATGTAAATATCATTTTTACAGTTAGAAGCTTGAAACTTATTATTTAGGCTGTTAATCTATTATAAAAATCAATTGCTGTTCCTTAGTCTCGCTAAAACTCGTAAACGGCTGACCGGATTTATGTTGTCTTGGTCTTGAAATGTTCCTGGATGTCCAGGGAAGATTTAAAATGTGAGAAAAATTTGAATAATTGCCGGGAACTAATTAAGTTTTTGTTCATTCCATGCAAACGGTGTCGCAGGCGAAAGCTAGTAGGATGTAACTGTAGCATTCAAAATTTGTTAGTTTCACCCGAAGGAAACAAAATAATAATAGCGAATAAGGTATAAATCGTCGCGTGTAATATAAAAACATCATGAAGATGTTACGTCAAAGAAACATTACTACCAGTTTGTTACACTACAATTTGCAAGGTCATTGCTTAAATTTGCATTTTATTCATCCTATGTATTTCTTTTATAAAATCCTACCACAAAATAAAATAGACAATGGATTTAAATAACGAAATAATAATTTAACATCGCTTTTAAAATTTGAAAGAAAAATCCCGCGCGGACGAAGTCGCGGGCAACAGCTAGTCTTTTATAAAAAAAATAAGTTCTAATTTTATGTTTTTTTAATGACATTGTCAATTGCTATGTCTTTTTTCAATTGCTAAATTCTGTCTTATTTTCATTTTCTTTATCAAAAAATTATTTCGGCTCCCCTAAAATTTTAAATGCACCATTTGTAAGGTTAGCAAATAACCTTAATTAAGTAATAACTATCATTATTCAATTGCATTAATGGCTGGCTGGTAAGAAAAAAAAGCGACATTATGCGGACCGAGAAAGGAGTTTCCTTTACACTGATGAAATCTGATTGGTTAAGTGTTTTTCCACGCGCATTTGCAATTACAATTGATTAAGATTAATAAAACTTCCTTATTGATAAATTATCGTATTATTAAACGCTGTAATATATACAACTCGGGGCAAATATGACGCTAACCAAATTTAGCTTTTATTTATTTACTTTTTTAATTCAGGACAAAATTTTCGTCATATCACAGACAAAGAATTTTTTTTTTTCCTTTGAATACAATACCGTGGATTAGCTATAGGTATAAAAGCTATAAATTATATTTTTATGGCCAGTTGCTTTGTCTGCTGGAGTCCTAATTTAAAAAGAAAGAGTGCTTCCTCTTTCTGTGTGTCCCCTTGTCTGTCGATAACCATCGGCCGCTAATTTCACAAATGGAACAGGCCGCTTGCTTGCTTTACTTTTTATTTAAAAAAAAAATCGACTTAAGAAATGTCAACTACAAATGACATTTCACTGAAATGTTGTAGGCATAAACGATTGTGCGTGTAAAAGATAAAAAAATATATAATAAAAAGTAAATCCAATAGATTAGATAATTATTATGCCACACCGAATGTTGGAATTCTTAATAGCTTTATTATTTAGTAGTAATAAATAAAAAAAGATATTTACGAATATCAGCATTGTTCTAAAATCAACTGTGTTCCGGAATGTTTTGTCTTTGAGGAATTTAGGTCCTGAGTCTTCAACTAACATAACTTATACCGATATTTTATATTAGAATACAAATTAATCTAATTACTTCTTAAATCAATAATAAAATGAGTCAAGTCTAGGTTTAAGCAGCCATAATTAAAGTCACATATTTTCCTTTTGTCAGTCTATTTAAGGTAGGCAATGCATCTGCATTTGCGATGTCTATGGACCGCTTGCTCGTTTGCCTCCTTATTGACTTACTTGATTTAAAGTCCTATGTCCCCGTAGTGGGGCAGAGGGCGTCCACAGTGCGCCGCCAGTTCGCTCTATCTTGGCCTCTGCGTTTGGCGGGCCATATTAGCCCGACTGCCTTCATGTCGGCAGCTACTGAGCGCCGCCAAGTTTGTTTAGGACGGCCACGTCTTCTTGCTCCTATCGGGATCCACTCCAGAGCCACCCTGGGGATATAACTGGGATCCCGAAGAAGCGTGTGGCCGATCCATGACCTCCTTATGATATTAAAAAAATAAGGTGCTGGTTCGCTCCATCCTCGACATCTTCGTCTCAGAGGTTACCCATGTCTTTGATTACGTCTTTCCACTTTGTATTATATATCACTACTAAACTAGCCAAAATAATATTTACCAACGATATCGTTACAGTTTTGTTCCAATTTGATATCCAGTTTATTTTTCCGTGCACATTATTCCTTAAATTGATAAACAAACAAGTAACAAAAGGTTGTAAGCGAAGAGTTATTTTATTCATAATCGTCCCCAGAGTCATCTAAGCTTATAGTTAACTACTAGATTTATCCTTAATTTTTTTTGTAAGTTAGAAATGTTTAATGAACATGCCTGTTACAGATTCCGAAGTGTTGTAGCCGAGCAGCGTGTTGGCGTTGAACTTGCACCCCGCATCACGGCCGCGTGACGTCGTCGTGACGTGTCGTGACGTATGGCAGATAGGGCGAGCTACGCGTACGACCCGGTCGGGACCGGAGCAGTCAGTCAGCAGCACAGGATGGAGGCGGGACAGTTGTGGCGGCAGTATGTCATCGCCGGCATCGGTATGTCAACTGTCATTTATTTGCGAGTGATTTGAATTTGGAATGAGGAAGAAAAATCGTGCAATTTTATGCGGTGCCAGTGATTATTATTTTTTTTTAATTTTTATTATTACTGTTTGGAAATTACGCGTTATAGTAAAAAAAATAGGATTATTAAATTAAATACATTAAAAACCGTAGTTTTTATACATAAAAAACTTGATACTTCCGTGTGTTTGTATTTTTATTATAATTCGACAATAAGCAGAAAATAAGCGCCAGTTATTCATTTTAATTTTTTACGTTACCAAAATTATCAACATAATATTTAAATTAAATAAAACTCATTAAAAAAACGAGCAAGTTGAAAACAAATACCATAGCTATCACAAAACATAAAAAATAACACAATTTCCCGCGCATTTGACTTCGCTGATTGATATTGGAAATTATAAACACACAAGACGATAAATATTATTCTCGTAAATTATGATTAGTTTAATAAATAATATCTAATTAGATGCATGGATTTATTAATTAAAAAATGGATAATGTTTATGGATGAATAAAATCCATGCATAAACAGTTCTAATTGTGTTCCTGTTCCAAAAATACATTTTTAAACAGTCGGCCAACGACACCGGCGTATTCAGCCGATGCACGTCGGTAAAAAAAGCAAATATGTCAAACCAAAGCGGGAAAAAGAAATTTTTTGCACTTCCTTGTTATCAGAAGAAAACTAAAATTATCTTTTTTTCTTACATATCTTACTACTATTATAAATGCGAATGTTTAGATGGATGGATGTTTATTAGAAGGTATCTTCAGAACGGATGTAGATGAAATTTGACATAATTATAGAACATAGTCTGGAAGAACACATAATAATTATGTTTTTTTTTTAATTCCGAGCGGACGGAATAGCGGTAGACCACTAGTATTATTAAAAATTAAAACAATCTTAAACTATACATCGCATGAAAAAAAAAAAACTTTAGCTTTAAAACGTAAGTAGATATACCCTTTTTGATATTTTTTTCCTAGGTTATTATTACAAAATCTAGGTTATCTTGTATCCTTCTAGATTTGCTTGTTTTACATATCGAATGAATAATGTTTTATATATTCGATATAGGAAGTAAAACATTCAATAACAACGATTACAAAAGAAAATTGTCGATTATGTTAATTAGAAATATGTAGTACGTAATGTCATTGTTACAGTCAATGTGAATTAGTTGTCCTTTTGCATAATGTCCGTATTGTAAAATAACCAAAATAAAAGATGACATTTTGATAATAACTATAGAATTTATGACGTGTTTCATTTTATATTACGACATTTAATTATTAATTTTTAATTATTGAAGTGAATATTTTATTTAATCTTATTATTATAAATGCGAATGTTTGGATAGATGGATGTTTGTTAGAAGGGCGAAAACGGTTACACGAATCTTGATTAAATTTCGCATAGATGTAGAACATAGTCTGGAAGAACACATAGAGTACTAAATAAGTTTTTTTTGTAATTCCGCGGGTAACTGCCAGTTCATTTTAAAAGTGGATTATTTTTTTTTAACATATATTAGGTAAGTTTAGGTTTTGTTAAGTTTAAACTATCTTAGATTATTATTTATCTAAGATTGCCCAAATGATTTTTACCGAATTAAATCGACTGGATAATTTAATTTACAAAATTTCAAATTTCATTAAGATCCGTAAAGACGTTCCGGAGATACCATGTAACAAACATCCATACATCTAAACATTCGCATTTATAATATTAGTAAGTAATAATTTGTCCGGCACACCTGGTCTTTTTTAATAATGCCCGCACCGGCAGTTATCACTTTGACTACAACATTATTACACAGATGCATCTGCGTTTATCATGAACTCTGCATTTACGCAATAGATAATTTATAGGATTAGCATTCATTATATTGTTTTCAAATCAAATGGGAAATAACAAACGAGCGGCATTCGCGATCTTTCGGTGACATGGTGATTTTGAATTACTACAGGTATATCACGTTTCAAACAAATTTCTAATTTAAGTAAACGGAGAAATGTCAAATTCCATACATGACGTCCATTGCAATATTTTACTTTTTTAAAGAAAATTGTGTGATAAAGTGAACTAATACTATGAAATCAGTGTAACCATGTATGAAAAAGAAAGATAAAATAACATTTTAGACTGAAAACGAATGTAGTCTATGGTCTTGATTTGGAACGCATTTTAGGGTAACACTGACCTTTATAAATGGACAGGCTATGAAAGTGATATTTTGTGCCTATTTGATTTTCGTCATTTTGGCGCTAACAATAGCCATGAGAATTCGAACAAATAATAAACATTAAATAATTGTCTATGGATATGTTCTATGTATTGGTTCATATCACAGCATCTTTGTTTATCTAATTTTATTCATTTCCCTTATGCGTTTATTTATCAACAGACGTCATAAACATATTATCTATGCCTTTTGATTGCCCCACTGATCTCGATCTGTACTGTTGGTAAACATTGAGAGAGACAATAGGTCTGGCTAGACCTTTCTTTATGGAAAATATCGTCATCTTATAAAAAACAAAACAAATCTTATAAATACACAATGTTATGTAAATAATAGATTAAAAACAATAACACCGAATCAAATAATGCGATAGGAAATAAAAAAGAGAACTTTTTTTTTATTTGTACATTTATGCCTTTTTCAGGCGTGTTACATATTATTTCTTAATAATATAACATATTACAAATCGTTCTTAATTAATATACGTTATCTATTTATTTTAGTAATAAAAGAGTCTTAAATCTATAATATTAAATAAAATATTAAAAACGAATAATTAACGAAAACATATTATTAAAAGGAGTCCCTTTAAGCAAAGTTCCGAAGATACTGGCAGCGTTACCCCTTTGTTGATAAAAAGGATTTTGAGCTGTCAGACGAAAAAAAAAATAAAAATAAAATTTTACCGCGAAAATGACAACTGAACGATGTTTTAGTGTTTCTTTTATATCAGCTGTATAAAAATTTTGTTAATGGTTTTAATACAAATCTATATTATCTTAAACATATTATTTCATGTATTGATTAGTGTTTTTCCAATGAGTTAAGCGATAATGTTATCAAACGAACATAAGGTAAAGACAATACGTAAGAATTTTAATCCTTGATTTGAAATTGTAAGTCATATGAATTGAATTTTCTTAGACTATCTGTATATACAAAAAGTACTTATACTTTTTCTTAAAAATGTGCATATTAGAGGAAGTTTGAAAGTAGCGCCAGTGATCGAGAAATTGAGGAGTAAAAGATTAGCGTGGTTTTGACATGTTATGAGGAGGGATGATGATGATATAAGCAAAAAAAGTAATGAGATTGAATGTGGATGGCTACAAGGGTAGGGGAAGACCAAAAAAAGTATGGAATAACTGTGTGAAAGAGGATATGCGTAAGAAGGGGGTAGACTCGGATATGACGGCTGATAGAGATGTATGGAGGAGTAGTACATACTGTGCCGACCCTCAATAGGGATAAGGGCAGGTTGATGATGATGACTTTTTCTTATATTAAGCTTGATATTTTCTGCTATACCTCTTACCGTGGGTTTCTGAGACTAAAATTCCCGTTTAAAGCATATTGGTATTTCTGTTTTGTCAGACAGACAGGGATGATATATTTTATCCGCGAACTTTGGTATCAGAAATCCACGGTTACTAATGTAATTAATTCTGTTAATTAAATAGCTTAGTACTTTTATATTGTGTATAATTTGATAAGTGGAAACTTTTGAAATATTATTTGATTCCTCAATACAACGTAAATTTTTCCATTCATTCTATTTAGGGTTCCGTACCTCATAGGATCACTTTTTTATATTATCCGTTAAATCCACTTCTTCTTCCCAACCGATTCTTATAAAAAAAGATAAGGAGGGGAAAGAAGACTAAAATTAGGCTGCCGGCACGCAGACTCGTTAGACTCTACGTGGAATGACATTCGTTTTACGTGCGTTTTATGTGGTCGTGATCACCCGTCCAGCGACAGATGTTGCTGGCCATTTATACAAGCGATTCGATTTATCGCAAAAAAAAAATACATTGTCAATCATTAAAATTATCAAGTGCTTGAAAACAGTATCGAAAACATTTTAATTTTAATTTGTTTGCTGTTAATTAGTTTAAAAAGAACGATATATTATTTACGAATATAAATACATTATTACGAACAACAAGACGTAGAGAACGAGAACGAGAATATATTTCGTTTTAATCTTAGTTCTTACTAATATTATAAATGCGAAAGTTTATATGGATGGATAGATGGATGGATGGATGGATGTTTGTTTGAAAGTATCTCCAGAACAGCTGTATATACTCGTATCTCACTGAAATTTGGCATAGATGTAGAATATAGCTTGGAAAAAGACATAGGTTACTTTTTTTTTTTTTTAATAAGGCGCGAAAAGAGTCGCGGGCGATAGCTAGTATAATTATGTAATTATTTAAGCATTTATTACTGACAATCCTCAAAAGATATGAATAGTTATCAGGGTGTTCGATTATTATTTTACAACTAATATTGACGTATCTACACTATATTTTTTCTATTATTCATTTTAACGGATTATCGTCAACGTAATTTATCTTTAATCCGATAAACCGTCAATAGTTTTTAATTGAGTTATACAGGGTGTTACAAATATTTAAAGATTTGTCCATGTAATTGGAAATTTAAAAAAAAAACAATTAAACCTCCTTTTTAATATTTCACTATTAGCATAATCTTTATTACCATATATTTAGATTTAATTATAAGAAAGTCGTAACACGTTTTACTATTATTATGACCAAAAATCAAGGCAAAAAAATCAGTCTTCCATACTTCAGTCTACTTACCCATAAAGTATATCGTGCGAGTTTATTTGTCTTAAAATTAATTTTTATTTGCTTTCTTACTAATATTATAAATGCGAACGTTAAGATCTAAAGAAAGAAGAGGCTA